TATATATATATACTATAGATATTATTATATATATATATTCATACTATGAACTGTATATTAGAAGTGATAGCTGTATTGGCATTAGGAGTACAAACTGTGTTCGTTTCAGAGTCCTAAGGCTGCAGTGCCAGGCAACTATCTGTTGGCTACCATCACATTCCAAAGATGAACTGGGCCAAGAAAGCAACACCTATCCATATAAGTACATCTGGCCGCGCCAAGCAAAGAAGCCCCTCAAGTCGCAGTGGCGAGAAGGCAGAACAACAAGGATAACAATAAGGAGGAGGAGTTCCAGCCGAGCGCCTCAGAGATTCTGAAGATCAGCCTGCGCTTGTCAAAGTATGGCTATAGATATGATGAGACACTCACATGATTGATGCCCCATAACTCTCTCTTCTCGTCTTCTCGTTCTGTCTTCTTCAAAGCGGTTGCCTTCATATACCATGTCTTTGCAGTAATACGCTCTATTCCATCATCTTTGATGCAGCAGCTCGCATAATTATGTTAGTTATACCCCCGTCACACCATGCGCCCCGAGTCTCACTACGCTCGAAGAGCCGTGGTGGCAAACGTGCTAGAACGCAGTATGAACGTCTATGGACGTACTGCGATCGCGATCGAGCGTGGTTAGTCAGCGTGAGGTGCGAGAGCGTGCCCAAACTTTGACATGTTGAAACAATTGTGGTGCGAGCCGTGCGGAAAGACAGACGGAGTGCTGGGGGTATTAGAGACGTGGAAGTCGTCAAGTACCCACGTAACCTCGCAGCGTAGTACGAACTTATCATCATATCGACAGCGGTCGGGGGCGTGAAATTGTCACTCGTTCTCAGCACGATGCTAATACGTCCAGGGAGATGTCTGGCGACCTGACCACGCTTTCGCTATGAATCATGGTGCGTCTCTAGCCAGCTCGACCCGTTCGTCTACGATTGTACTACGGCCCAACACGCCTCAGAACCACGCCCGTTGTGGCATTTCGTATTACGTGTATGCTTGCGTCAATACATGCTCAGAATCACGTCTTGCGAACTTGGGTATAAATTGGCGCGTGCTACCCTGGCCACCCCCACCAGTTCAGTGATCCACTATGGCATGAGATAATACTACTTCCAGCCATGTTTCTCGTAGTAAGCGACAACTCGAATTACTGATTGAACAAGCCCTCATTCATGCCTGAGCGAGGATGAGGAGGAGAAATAGAAGTCTTTTTGGCCCGGCATAGCTTGTAGCATACTATTAATACTATTGTGGCGTATAAAATCAGCTAGAAAATCATCTTGATGTAACAGCACAGCAGAACGAATGACTGATGTCTTAGACGCGGCGCCGAGTATTTATATGGTCGTTTGCCAGCCGCAGTCGCGCCTGACTGAGCGTGATTAAGTCACACTAGGAGCGTAACTGGCGCGCAGTAGACGCAGTGAGCCGTTGCTTAGGCGCAGTGAAAGCGTCGTTGAACGCAATGCGATCTGCATTGTCTCAATAAAGAGCGCAGTGAGCGCAGTGCAAGCGTGATGCGCGCTGTGCATTGGCAGTGTGCGTAGTGGAGCCATGGTGAAAGCTGTTGGCGCCGCAAATGAGATCGGGGGTAAAACGCACTATAATCGTAGTTATGGCGCTGGGGCCAATTGCCACGCTCTCACCAC